CCCAGTCTGCACAGAGCTCTCTGTTTGCTAAGAGCAGGGAAGGGACCCCTGGAGAATAGTTGCTGCAGGAGGGCTCCCCACTGGATGAGAAAACATATTGCGAACACTCAGGGCTCAGGGCTAGGGCTTTGGAGTTACCCAGATCTGCTTTCTAACCTTGGCTTAGACACTGAGCAAGTCATGAGCCAGTTTCCTCATTTATAAAATAGGAACTAATTATGGTACCCACCCTTCCAGGTATGTTGTGACAGTTAATAAAGGTAATGTATGTAAATCACTTACCACGGCGCTTAGAATATATTAATTACTCGAGAAATGTGTGTTTACCCCACACCCCTTAAAGGCGAAGTGGGCAAGTGGGCCCTTTGCTCTTTGGAGGAAACTCAAAAGCTCTGCGTTCAGAGACTTCCACCCTGGCTGCTGCGTCCCGAGGTGGTTTTCTTGTTTCAGAAAGTCCAGCCGGACTTACAGGGAGTCTTGACTGAATAATGTCTGCTGTCAGCTGAAATTCCAGCAGTTGCGTGGGCTCGCTGACCTGTTCTGATTACCCTTAGATTAATAACAAACAGGGCACATGAATTATTCCTTTAAAAGTACAGTTCATGTGGGAGATATCAATCTTTCCAAATGGCTGAGGGGGAGGGACAAGGATAACTAATAAGGGGGTGTCCTCCGAGGGAAGCCGTGGAGACCAAGTGAGCTGGCCCCGCAGGGCCGAGGCTGCCCTTGTGGGGACCCGGTGTGGGACAATGGTGTGGGCAGCGTCAGGCCCTGCTGGCTCAGGGTGAGCCTCGCCGCTGGCAGGAGGCCCAGACCACCCACCAGAAAGAGGCCCTGGGGCTGAGTGGGGGCAGCCTTGACCCACAGCCTTGGGGATGTACCCTGGGGGTAAATGTGGATAGGAATGTCTGAACTCCCTCAGTTCCTAAGTCCCCAAGCCAGGCTGGCTCCAGGGCCATACCCTCCTCAGTCCCCCATTCCCTGGGGCTCCAGACATCTCCCCCTGGCCAGCCCCATCCTCCGAGCTGCTCGCTCTACTAAGCCGCCGGCACGGTATGTGCCTGCAACCAAGACACTGTGTCCCTTCCATCAGGGCTGCAAGCAGAACTCTCTGAAACCCGGAGGGGCCAGGTAGCGAGGGGGAAGTGGCCGGTTTTCCAGAGGTGAGGGGGCAGAGGGTCCTGAGCGGGGAGACAGCCACAGTATAGTCTGGGGAGTTCTAAATGCACTCGGGGCAGGTTGACTGTGAAAGTCACCGGCGGTCAATGCTGGGAGTGTCCCTTGGTGTCAGTGGGAAGACAGGAAAGTTTTCCAGGGAAAGAATGGGACTTGCCCAAGGTCACACAGCATGAATAGCTGAGCTGGGACAAAAGTCCGTTGCTCCAGCCAATGCCTGCCCTGTGGGGCAGCATCACCAGGACATTTTATCTTCACCCCTTGGCATCCGCCCTCCCAGTGTCCACAGCTGCCAGACAGCTGTTCGAGGGACCCACATTTACTCAGTGCAGATGTGAAGAGAGAGTCCTGGGGTGCTCAGGAAGACGGCCCAGCCCTGTCCCAGTGCCCTGGTCCTTCCTGGGCAAATGGACCCAGAGTCTCAAGCTCAACTGGGACCCCTGCGAGAGTCACTGCTGCACGGGGAGGGTGAGGCTGGATTAGCAGCCAGGAGAACACGTCTGGCCCCATCACTGTCTTGAAGATGATGCTCCTCTTAGACCACAGTTATCTCATTCAGAGAATGGGAGCGGGGGCTGGAAAGGATTTCCAGAGGGCGGTTCTAGCAGAGTCTCACACCGCCCTCTTCTGCCAGCCTGCCCTCCCCACAAATCTCTTCCTCTATTTTTTTTAATCCACACCTGAGGATATTTTTATTGATTTTAGATGGAAAGGAAGGGAGAGAGAGAACATCTATGTGAGAGAGAAACATCGACTGGTTGCCTCCCATCGCCCCAGCCAAGGGTCAAACCCACTCCCTGGGTATGTGCCCTGACTGGGAATCAAACCCGCAACCTTTGGGGGTTGACACGCCAACCAACCCAGCCAGAGTAAATCTCTCTCTCTCTCTTGGATTAAGCTGACGTCAAGCAGAAGTGGAGCAAATTACTGTGTGTGCAAAGCTATGCCCAAATCCTGCTGGAGACCTCAGGGAGTCCGTGCCCCTGGATCTGCAGGCTTTACTAGCCCCGGCAGGCAGCAGGGCCGGGCCAGCTGGGGAGTGCAGCAGGGCAGCTGGCTGGGGCATTGGTGGGGGCCAGGCCGGTGCCATGGTGTAGGGGGCTGTGCAGCCAGGCCAGCCGGGTGCGGCAGAGGTGCAGGTTCAGGGCCCAGACTCAGAGCCCTAGGGGGTTGGGCTGGCTATTTTTAACTACGCTTTATTTTCTCAACCTGGAAACCAACTCTTGCTGGTGGAGTAGTGTTGTTTCCGTAAAGCTGTCACCCCTAAGACCTGGGCTTGCTCAGGTTCCTTGGGCTGGGCCTCTCATCTCCCAGGAGCCCCTCTGCCCAGCTGGGCTGAGGGCAGGGAAGAGAGGAAACTGGAGTCGGCACAGCTCCCTGGGCTGACCCTGCCGGCCGGGTGGTGGCCCCTGCCCTGTCGTCACCCTCCTTTCACACCAGAGCGGGATTCTGTCTCCTGGTCCCTTTAATTCTTCTGTTTTGTTTCCCAGACTAGGAGCCTCTGGCTCCCTATTGTCCTGAGCAGGCACTTGGCATTTGTGTAAAGATTAGACACATTAGAACCTTCGCTCTCACTCCCAATGTCTTTCTCTTTTCCTTTCTCAAATCCTAGTTCTTTCTCTCTGGCTGGGCTCTGCTTCCTTGTCCTCCCTGGCTCTCCTGGCCGTCTTTATCTGCCTCCCGCTTGTTTTCCTCCCCACCCTGACCCCTCTGTCTCCCCGCTGACCTGCTTTTGCCTCTTTCTCTCTTCACGGTTCAGCGGTCTGAATTCTCTATCCACCTCCTATCCCCACCCTCACCCTGCTTAATTCTGTATTTATATTCTCTCCGAGGCTAACAGAAATGACTGGGAGAATTGCTCACCTCATTCCAGAAATACTCTTCTAAATTCTTCGAGAGGTGCCCTGCGGGAGAAGGCAGTGAGCACTACAGGGGGAGTCCCTGGTTTGCGGGAGAGGCAGAGATCGGAGTCCCAGAGCGGGCTCTGCGCCTGCCAGCTGGGTGCCATTGGCCAGGCTCCGCTTCCTCCCGGGCAGCTGTGGAGCTGATAGCCAGCCCATAGCAGCTGCCTCCTGGGGTCGTGAGGAAGAGGACACGAAAGCTCTGAGCACACAGTAGGTGCCCAGGAATGCTTGTTCCTGAATCCACTGCAGCCTGACCCAGCCTGCAGGGAGGAAGACAATGCTGCTAGGTCTCTCCCTCCTTCCGTTCTGCTCTGTTCTACCAGGAACATGCACGCGCGCATCCACACACATACACGTGTGCTCTGGACGCTACGGAAAAGCAAAATTGCCTTTTTCTTTGTGGTCCTCTATTTCCCCCTTCATAAATATCTAGTGACAAAATTGCTGCTGAACATAGGAACTAGACATTGGGCAGCCTGGGTCCCTGCAGAGCCAGTTCCCCAGTTCAAAGCCAGGCATTTATTCGTTCACCCCCTCTCCAGAGTGCCCTCACTCAGAAGGCTCCTACTGTGTGCCAGGCAGGCTCTGGCCCTGCCTCCTCTGGAGTTCTGGACCTCGATTGCCCGGGAGATAAGCTCAATGTCATGAGTCAGGCAGGCGCAAGAGCCTGGACTCTGGGATTTCCAAGAAGTGACTGCCTTTCCTATTGGGCCCGGAGACAGTGTCCCTGGGAAGATGCCGAGAGGTGGACCCTGAGCCAGATCTGCACAGGGACAGGGGGCAGCTGCCAGTTCCACGAACTGCTTGACTCACCAACACCCCCCCCCCAAACCCCTGCTCTTGTCTCCAGCAAGGCCCAGCTTCTGAGCCAGCAGAGGGGCAGGGGGCAAACACTGGCCCTTGGCGAGCACCCCCACCACCTGGTCTTTTTTGCAGAAAGTGGCTACGGAGGTGAGCCAAGACATCCTGTCCCGTCCGAGATGGACCTTTCAAGGGACACTTTGTGTGGGCCCACAGGACACATTTCTGGAAAGGACTCTGAAGCCCCCTTTGTTAGTCTCAATGGAACCTGTGAGCCAACACACTAAGAACCCCCCATTTTTACTTTGTTTTGCAAACAAGGAAACTGAGTCCTAGGAGAGATATCCTTGGCCACAGCTACAAAGGTTCTGGAAGGGACCAGAACCTCTGTCCCCAGGCCCTGGGGTGGAAGGAGGGGAGGGGGCGCTTCCTGGGTGAAGTGAGATGAGGCAGCTCCAGACTGGTCCGGGGACAGAGGGGTGTCCTTCACTGAGGGGAGCAGGCCCAGAGAGGGCTCTGACCTGCCCAAGGCCACACAGCCATAAGCTGGCCTCTCACCTCCTACAGCATAGAAAGGGCTCCTCAGCTTGGCTGGCAGGAGGGAGGCAGGACTGCAGGGCCTCTCCAAGGAGAGGGAAGGTTTTTCTCACGCTCCCCTTTCAAACTCTTAGTTCTGGGCAAGACCGGGGCAGCAGCCCAGGGGAGAGTGGGGGAGGAGCTCTGGGGCGCTTTAGGGAATGATTTGAGGAAGTCCTAGGGCCGGAGAGGAGTCGGAGTCGCTGGGGGTGCAGAGGAGCCTCAGCACTCCCGAGGTGCGCCAAGCTCAGAGGGAGGAGCTGGGCCTTCCGCCCGCCTCCGCCCTCCTCTGTCCCCCACCGTGAAGGCTGGGGCGGGCCAGACGCCCCAGGAGGAGGCGGTGTCCCTGGCTCTGGGCCCTCCGCCTGCTGGTGCAGTGCGGCAGGGCTGGACCGCAGGGGCGGGGAACTGCTTATAAGAAGCAGCCAGGGCACCGAGGCACTGAGCTATCGGCTCGGCTCAGCTTGGCAGCAGGACGCGGGCAGCACTCTCCCTCCCTGCTCCCTGCTCCCATCCAGCCGTGTGCTCCGCCGCCGCGCCGCTATGGTTGCTGTGCCCACTGCCTGGTGCTCCGTCGCTCTGGCCCTGCTCGTGGCCCTGAACGAAGGTGAGCCGTCTGGCCTCGCCTGCTGCAGCAGCCCCGGGTCTGTTCAGCGGTGTCTGCCCCGGGGAGCGCGGCGCCCCACAAGCGAGCTGGGGACATGCAGGGCAGCGGGAGCCCAACAGCAGTGGCAGTGACAGGGGGCTCGGCCAGTACAGAGGTGCTGCTGGCACAGGGCAGCGCGCGCCCTTCCCACCTGGGCTGCCGAGGCTTCCCCGGGCTGGTCCGGAGCTCCGAGCAGTGAGAGTGCCAACTTCCTCGATTATGCAAGAGGAGGAGCCTGGCAGGTCCCCCTATTCCAGCTGTGCCAGGCGTCCTGACCCACCTCTCCACCTCTCTCTCCCTCCTGCGTGCAGGCAAGGGCCAGGCCGCTGCCACCCAGGAGCAGCCAGTGCCCTCGCCCCATGCCCCAGGCTCCCACCTGCGGCCTCGGCGTTGCTCCTGCAGCTCCTGGCTGGACAAGGAGTGCGTCTACTTCTGCCACCTGGACATCATCTGGGTGAACACTCCCGGGTGAGCTACCGTGGGGATCCCGGCGGGGCTGCTAGGCGTGGGGCAGGGGCAGGGGGCTATGGGCGTGCTGTGGAACCTTGGGCACAGTACACCCTCCAGATGGGAGCACTGGGCTAATATCGATAGTTAGCCGGTATTGTTTTAACTCCCATGTGGAGGCCACCTGAGCAGTATAGAGGGTTGTCTCATGAGAATCTCACAGCAGCCTGTAAGAAAGTGTTGGCTCCATTTTGCAGATCAGGGTACTGAGGCTCAGAGGGTTTAGGTGCTTTCTGCAAGATCACAGGACGGAGTGAGTGGTAGGAGGAAGCTCCATCCTAGGGCCGGTGGATGCCAGAGCTCACACCCACTCTGCCATGCTACCTCGCCATGATCTTCCAAGAATAATACAATTAATGACAGCACCCATGTCTCGACTGTGCCAGGCCCTATGCCAAGCACGGCTCGTGCATGATCATCCCGTGAACCCCCCAGTCCTCCCCTGAGGCAGGTACTGCTGTTGTCCCCAAATGACAGATGAGAAACCTGCCCTTTGTCACCTGGTGGAGCCAGGGTGGGGGCCCGTGCTGTCTGTTCTGTCTGCACCCGCACTGCCTCCGGGCCACTGCATACTTCAAGTTGAAGTCTCTGTGTGCATTTGTGTTTTTTTTCCCTTCCCCAAATTGCAAAAGACAAGAGAAGCCCGGCACGTAAGCGTGTGTGGAGTTAATCCACATCCAAACACTAGCTCAGGCTGGGAACCTGCCAGTCCCTGCCTGCCGGGTCTACCTGGAGTCATTACAACTTCAATCACACCAGCTAAAATTAGCTCTGGCACCCGAAGGTGCTGGTCCAACCGGCCACAGGGCCCCTGCCCTGCCCTCCACTAGCCTGGGCTAGACTCTGATCTGAAATCGATCCCACCCGATCTCACACACATGCACACTCACCATTTTTAAGTCAAAACTCGAAGACATGTATGTCACTCCTCTAGGCAAGTGGGGACCAGGTGGGGGCAGCGTAGCTGTGAGCCTGTGTGTTTACTTCTGCGCGATGGTATTTCCTCCCCTCCTCCAGGGCAAGCTGTGGGCCTTCCCTGAGAACAGGGGGACAGCCTGGTTCTATCAGCTCGAGTTCCTGGCTGGGAGGGGGGTTGGGAGAACTCCCCCTGGGGCGTGGGCAGGGGCCCAGAGAGGGAGAGAGGCTTGCGTCTTGTCCGGGGCTACCTGGCCCCTAGGTAGGAGCTTGTGGTGGGACTTCTTGAGGTCAAGGGTTGGTCACCTTTTGCTGCCATCCTGGTGGCATTTGAGGCCATCCCAGTGTGCAGCATGGACAGTCCCTGCTTGCCAATGGCAGTGATTTATCTAATCCTCCTCTCCCGCTCTTCCTCTTTCTCTCCTTCTCCCCGCCCCCCCATCACTACCTTGCTGGCTGCCCGCCCACAGACAGACAGCTCCTTATGGCCTGGGAAACCCGCCAAGACGCCGGCGCCGCTCTCTGCCAAGGCGCTGCGAATGCTCCAGTGCCAGAGACCCTGCGTGTGCCACCTTCTGCCACCGAAGGCCCGGGTAAGTGGGCACCTAGCCTGCAGGGGCCAGGGGTGGCTGCCAGCCTGGACCTGCCCTGGACAGCAAGGTGTCTGGGGGGCCAGCAGAAGAGTAGAGGAGCAAATGGAGGAGGGGGAGCAGGTCCTGGGAACCCATAGGCTGCCCTGGATTTATGGGCAGTGTCCCTTCTTGCAGGGAACCAGTCACCCCTGAGTCCCTCCCACTGCCCAGCCCTGTGGGCTTCTGAAAGCACCATGCTGCACTCCTGGGCAGGGGGGATTCTTCCCTGGTAACAGCTGAGGCAGCCCAGAACCGAGGAGACAGGACTCGTCCTGTCGGTCCACACAGCTGGTCAGGAGAGCTGGGCTTCAGCCTTGGTCCGTCTGACCGAGTCCATGGGGCTCGAATTCAGACCTGAGGCTCGGGGGGCTTTGGAGCTTCCTCCGTGAAGGAGTAACATCTGGAATTGGGCGGCCATGGCACCATTTCAGGGCCACCACAGAGTTGCTGGGGGGGCCTTTGCAAATCTAACTCTTTAGGCCTCAGTGTCTCCATCTGTAAAAGGGTGGGAAGCTCTGTTCTTTCCCTCCCCCACTTGGAGCATTTGGGGAAGCAGGAACCGCCTTGGCATCTCAGCCTCCATTCTCACCAGGGTTTGTGGGAAAACTCCTCCTCTGAGACTCAAGCTGTGGCTCCACCCTTGCCTCAGTTTCCCCTGCAAAGGGCCCCACTCAGCTTCAGGTGGCCGGATTCTGAGAAGGCCAGCCACCCAGCTGCCTCTGTCTGAAGCTGAGAACACATTCCGTAGCTCAGTGTTCCCACCCTGCCTGGGAAAGGAAGGCTGCCAGGTGCACGAGCTGGAAACGGATCTGCTCCCGCGGCAGGTGGGGGAGGGCGGGGGCCAGGCTGGGCCTGCGGCCAGATGGCCTTGGGGCCCTGGACAGCCCCTCACTTGGGCTCTGTTGTTGTTCATTCAGGGCTGAAACCATGGCAAACCCAGGCATTGGGTCCCCTGCCCACATGCTCCAGGCTGGCAAGACGTGGACCCCTGCAGGAGAGCTCCTCCGAAGGCTGAGGTAGGGGCCTGCGCTGCCTGAGTGCCCCCTGTAGGCCGTGCGCATTTCCTCTCATTTCTCTTGTTCTCTGGAAAAGGCAGGGCCGCTTCCCCATCAGACCGTTAAAAGAACTAAGGCTCAGAGAGGTGAAGGTACTTTCCCAAGGTCACACAGCGGTCTGGCATCTGGGAGACTCCAGAGCCTGTGCTTTTTAACCTCTATGCCTAGAAATGTACTTTTTAGAAGGTTCTTGACTCTAGAAGGACCACAGGTGTCCACTCAGGCTGTGTCTGAATTGAGCATCTCGCATATGCTGAGGTCCAGAAGGACCAGCAGCCCAGCCTGCTTCTTCCTCCCACCCCAGACTAGATGCTCTCTGTGCTGGCCTCAGAATGGCCCAGGAGGTGCCTATGAATGTTTGTCCAACCAAACTGACTTCAGAACAGAACCCCACATCTGGTCCTGCAGCAGAGCGGCTGAGGGGCAGCTGCTGAGCCAGGACCGCCTCATTTGAACCCAAGCCCTGCCACAAACAAGCTTTGTGACCTTGGGCTTGTCACGTCCCTTCTCTGTGCTTTGAGTTCCTATTCTGAAACGGGGACAGCAGTGCTACCCATCTCCTGGGGTTGTCGTGGGGTCAGATGATTTGACATAACGCAGCACCTCAGGAGGGCCTGGCCCTGGCGGGAGTCCTGAAGGCATTAGTCAGTTCTACCTCTGGCCCTGATGGCCCCTTGGGGCCAGCCAGTGCTGGGACCCAGCTTGGCTCCTTGTGGGTTCCCATCCTTGTGGGGAGGCAGAACACAGGAGAAAAGGCAGGATGGTGTGGGAAGGACCCACATATACTTAGGAACTGTCTTAAGATGAACAAAATCAAGATCCGACTCGCAAGGCCTGGCCTTCAGAGTGGCAGAGAGGTTTCTCAGCCTGTACCCCTTCTCGCAACAGTTCAGGGCTGTTGTGAATCAGAAAGGGGCTCAGAGAGGTGGAGACACCTGCCCCAGTTCCCACAGCTGGGACCGAAGCCAGCTCCTAGCTTCCAGGCTAGAATGCGCTGAGCCAGGACGAGGCCGCCTGAACACCATGAGTCCCTCAAGGGTTCAGAGGGCAGGACCCGTATTTGTCTGGGTTGGACCACCTTCTGCTGGGACTTGAGCGTGGGAGTTGCAGTAGGGGAGTCTGGGTGAGGGGAAGGTGAACAGCCACGGTGTGGAAGTGGGAAGGCAGGTCTTGGGAAATGAACAGTGGGCTGTTCTTGACCGTCGGGTCATTCCAGCAACATTTGATGTTGAACATCAGCTTTGTCCAAGCCCCTGTGGGCAAAGACGCTTCTAGGCCTGGTCTGGCCTGTACTGATGGGCAGACCTTGTTTTCAGGGCCTGTGGCCACCTCCTGACCCCAGGGCAACCATGATTAAGGGGTGCAGTCCCGGTTACTGCTGCCTCTCACAGGGAACTCGTGGGTGGTCCCTGTCTCCTGAGATGCTGAATCCACCCTTCTTGATTCCAGGGACATTTCTTCTGCCAAGATCCGCTTTGCTAGGCGACAGCAGGAGGCAACAAGGGAGACCAGGCCTACACACCCCAGGCGGAGGAAGAGATAGTACTGGGAGCCAGAGAGACTCTGGGAAGGAAGCCTGTGTGAAGATGGGGGAGAGGAGCAGCCCAGGGCAGGGAGGCCCTCCACCTATTCCCTGGACCAGGAAACAGACCTGCTGGGATCCGCGGAGCTCCGGCCTCCTCGCCCCAGTGGGGAGCCCCCTCGAGGCAGCTCCGAGCCCTCGCACGGCCGCCGGGAAAGCCTTCAGCTTCCGGGCTGCAGAGCAGCCTCCCGCTCTGGCTCTGGTCCCACATCCCTGCTGAAAAGAACTAACCCGGAGGCCACGTCCTGCGAGGTGTTCTGTCTGTTGGCTACAGACCAGGATCGAGGCGCCGTGATGGATGCTCACACCTAAGCCAGCCCTGAAGGCGGGACGGGTCTGCCCAGTGGCTGGTGTCCCGCCGCCTTCGCCTGCCCCTGCAGCTCTGCCTCCCGAGTCCTGTACCCTTACCCTCGGGACACTCCTGGTGAGAAGGGCCTTCTCTGCTTCGCCTGTCTGTATATAACTTATTTGCTCTAAGAACTTTGAGAATTCCAATTATTTATTGTAATGTATTTTTTTAGACTTTCAATTATTTGCCTGCAAACTGTGTTTGTAATAAACTGAAATGTTTTCTGGTATTTTGTCTTGGCTGAGGCAGGGGTGGGAGGCACCTCCTGGGAAGGGGCTGCTTGGAAGTTAGGGGGACACAGAAAGGGGGAGGAAAGAGCCTGGGGCAGGTGACAGAGCCCTGGGTTCTACTTCTTGTGCCCTTTCCGGGCATCTTGGCTGCTAACCCACCTCTGCAGGCTTTGCCTGCTGTGTGCCCGACAGCCATTCGTAGCTTTCACACCCAGGGTTCCAGGACCTACGTTCCCCTCAGGCCAGTAACCGATGGCCAGGCTTTTCCCAAGCAGGTTCGGAAGGAGCCAAGGCTCCCTCTGCTCCAGCCGCCCTGAGCCGCCGGCAGCTGCTGGGGGCCCAGAGCAGCTCTATCCAGTGAGGGCTGCGGCGGGGGGATCCCCAGGTTGTGAGCAGTCCTAGTGGCCAGTGACGGGGGCTGTGGCGGAGCCCCGGCCTGGCCCTGGCCTGGACTCTCACCTTGGGCCTTGGGTGGGGTCCTGCCAGAGATGGCTGGACACTCCTCTGATGAAAGAAGCCCAGGGTTCTAGGACTGGGTTGGCCAATCCCCCCGAGGCCCATGAAGCAGCCTACCGAGTCCCAGGGACAACCAGCAGCCAGGGCCTCCCCTCTCGCATCGCCTGGACCCACAGCCCCACCTCTGCCAGATCTCCCAGGGAGCAGGCTGTCCCCTTCCGCCCGGCTGGCCTGTGCTAGAAGGGACAGGTTGTAGCCTGAGCCAGCAATCGAAAAATAATTATTTACACACTGCTGATCCTGCCTTGTCCATAAAGCCATCCCTGGCCCCCTGATGGAAGAGTAACTTGTTGACACCTGCTGCATCCTGACACTTCACCCAGAGTAACTTGTTTCCCCTCACAACAGCCCTGTGACATAGGTACTTTTATGATTCCCACTTTATAGATGAGGAAACTGATGCACAGAGAAGGCAACTGACTTGCCTAAGGTCACACAGCAAGTACGTGGTGGCATCAAGATTTTAATTCAGAGTCTATCGAACATATGTATTTAATAAATATTGATTGATTGAATTCATGGATCAGCACTGCACATGACCTTGAACAAATCTCTCTCTTTGAGCCTCAGGTTTTGTGGGTTTTTTAATCTATAAAATGGCAAACGATAGTCCCTACCTTGCAGGGCTGGTGTGAACACTAAACTGATAAGTGCTGGTGCCGGGCTCAGCCGTGGGCCTGATAAGTGGCACAGGCTGTGTGGCTGCCGTCAGTGGCCTTGCAGTCACAGGGACAGGCCCAGAGCTGAAGGACCTGAGGGGACAGAGACTGGGCTGGCTGGGCGGAGAGGAGAGCCCGTCAGAAAGGCTCCTAGACATAGGCTACTCCCATTGCCTCAGGAGACGGGTAAGCCTGAAATAAAGAGAAAGGAGCTCGGGAGGGAACTCCAGACAGGGGGGACGGGAGAGGTGAAGGTGTGGCAGGGGGAGTGGCGGAGGAGGTTCCCACAGAGGACCCCGGTGGCGGGAGCATGGTGAGGGGTGCCGCAGGAGTGAAGCCACGAGGCCTCAAGGACTTTCTCTTGGGGGTCATGGGGAGCCACGAGAGGTGTGTGAGCACAGGGGGCCTGGGCAGAGCTGGGCTTTGGAAATATGCCACCGGAGGATGCAGGGCGGGAGTGAATGAGGGGACAACAGTCAGGGTAACAAGTTTACGACTCGCCCTAGGGGTCCGCAGTGCATCCTGGGTGGTGAGGGGTGGTGTAACGGGGCCAGCACAGTCACTTCCTACCACAGCCCAGGGCCAGAGCACACCTGTCAGATCTCAGCCAAGCTTCGTACCAGGGGAATCTCACTCCCTGGCAGCCCAGCAGCCCATTCAAAATGACCCTGCCCCCGTTGGGAGCCCAAAACAACAGCCAATGGCCAGGCGGACAGCTGAGTGGTACAATCCCAGGGCGGCAGGTGCGATGGAAGCCTGGCAGAGGGATGACAAGGTCCTGGTTGAGGGTGTGGCGGGGGCCCAGGCATTCAGTGCCCTTGGCAAAGGCCCCAGCGGCCCTGGCCAGAGTTCAGAGATCAGTGACCCAGATGATTCAGTGACAGAGCTGACTGAAGGGAAGAGAAGAGGCCCAGGGAGCCGGGGAGGCAAAGTGACACTGCAGTGCCCTGGAAACACGGCCTCTGCGGGGGTCCTGCCCTGTGGGGGGCCCGCCTGGCCTCCCTTCCGTCACACCTCTCTCCACAGGACGGGTGTCTGCAGGGCCGAGGGGTCGTGTGCACCCGAAGTCTGCACCTGCTTCCAGACCACACCCCAGGCAGCTGGGGTCCTGGCAGCCTGGGGGAAGGCGGCAGAGCTTGGAAGAAGCAGAGGGAAGCTTGTGAGAAGTGGCGGCCAAGCGGAAAAGAACCCTGGGAAGAAAGGTGTCAACATTTTAGAAAGTTTTCCTGGATTATTATTATTATTTTTTTTATTTCAGAAAAAGTCTCCCCTTTTGCTGCCTTTTTCTGCCTTTCCCATAAATACTTAATAGGTTTTATCAAGGCTTTTGAGTCAGATGGGTGTTCCTTTTGAGGGAACACCAGGCAAAGACAGGCCAGAGGAGGGCACAGAATGAGCTGGATTTGCTCGGGTTCCGTGCACAGACGGGAGCTGTGGCCCAGGCAGTCGGCCCACGACCAGGGCTACCAGGCCGGCCACACATCCAAGCTGCAGGCTGGGCCCTGTCCCTCCCTGCCCCCCCCTCCCGCCACACACACGAGCGCACACACACACACACACACACACACACACACACACACACGGAACAGCCCCAAGGAGTTCATTTCCCTCTCTCTCTCTCTCTCTCTCTCTCTCTCTCTCTCTCTCATTAAAAATAGAGACCAGGCTGCTGGATTTTCACTTCAGAAAAGTCATTTGCCTATCGCGGCAATAAATCACTGGAATGCGCCATCCATCCATTCAATAATTATGAATAATCACCTCTCTGGAGAGTCCCCTGAGCAGACACTCACGCCCTGCCCTCGCAGCCAGCCGAGAGGAGCGCCCTTGAGGAAGCACTGTCCCCCAGTAAGAGGAGAGGAACAGCTCACGTCCAGGGAGCTCTCACTGAATGTGTTCCGCATCCGAATCCCGCCCTTCCTCACAGCGACCTTGGGCAGCAGGTTCTAGCACTGTTACTCCCGTTGTAGAGAAGGGTAAGGAGAGGCGAACTTGCTCAGAGTCACACAGCCAGTATGTGGGATTTAAGTCTCAGACTAACTTTGAAGCTGTCTGTCTCTCTGACAGGGCTCCTGGGTTGAGGAGCCCAGGGTGGCTTCCCGAAGGAGGTGACATCGAAGCCAAGCCTGAGGGAACCAATCAAGCGAAGGAGGAGGTGGACACGCGTTCCAGGCAGAGGGAACAGCAGAGTGAAGGCCCCTTTTCAGCCCCTTTCAGGGAGCAAAAGAAGGAAGGGGCAGGGAGAAGGCTGGAGAGGGGCAGGCGGGAGGGGCAGTGCCCTCCTGAGCACCAGATCAAGACTGAGCACTGGTGTGGGGGAAGGGGCTCCAGGCAGGAGAGCCGCAGCACCTGTCACCCCAGGACAGCCTCCGACAATGTCTCCCAGGGGGCATCCGAGTGCTGGCCACCACTGCTTCAAGTCTTTGGATTCAGCCACACTTGCTGCCCTCGGGGGTCTCCCGGGCTGACAGGAAAGACAGACAGAGGTTAACAAAGGGACAAGAGATGGAGCAAGTTGTGAGCAGCCCTTCCAGTTGGTGGGGGTAGGAGTGGGGGTTGGAATGGGTGGGGTTGGTGCATGCTGGGGTGGGGAAAGGGCATCACAGCTGGGGAAAGAGCGTGAGGCTTGTCTGGCTAGGGCATGGAAGAATCCGGAGACAGGCAGCCAGCCTGCTGGTCAGGGACCAGGCTGGAAACTGCATTCGAAGCCAGGACTTGGAACTTGAGTGATGGGGAGCCAGTGACGGTGGCTAGCAGGGGAGAGCCAGGGCAGGAGCTGGGCTCGGGCAGCTGGCTTGTGGCTGTCCCCTCCCCAGCCAGCCAGCACTTCCAGCTCAGGAGGCCCTCCCAGCCCCTCTCCCGGGAGAGCTGAGTGTGGGCCTCACCTCGCCTGCCAGGGACCCGAGCCAAGAGCCCTCAGCAGCTCAGAAGGGGGCCCTGTGCAGGCCCGCCAGGAGCCCTGGAAGAGGAATGTGGCCTAATTAATTCTCCGAAGCTCAAGGGCCTCGCCTTGTGGGAGCAGCTGCCAGGACAGGCCTGCCAGGATGCCACCGGCCCAGCCTGTGGATCACTCAGTGCTGAAGAGCGTGAGGGGCCAGCAGGCGGAGCGGGAGCAGGGGCTCCGGGCAGCCCCTTGCCTCCACGCACGCACGTGTTCACGATAATAGTATAGCCAGCAGGCCTGAGGGCTCACCGTGTGCCAGGCTC